TGTGCTCCCCAATCTTCAGCACACAACGCCACTTGGCAAAGTCAGCGCCATCCTTCTTGTACTGGGCACAGCGCTCAGACAGCCCATCCAGCCCTAGGAGAAGATAGAGGAGTCAAAGCGCGGTGGGGAGGGGCATGTGGTTTCCACTCCTCCCTGCACCCAAACCTGCTTGGGTTGGGTTTGTAGGACAGACAGCCAAACAGTTCTCACCTTGGGTGGTGGTCTCACCATTTGTCCCTGCCAGGGGGACCACGCCCTTGTCTACCTGTTGGGGTTCGGGGGAACAACATTAAGACACAAGTAATGACCTCTAGCACCCTTTCCACTGTCACCCAGGATGGAGTACAGTGGCGGGATCCCAGCTCAGTGACACCTCCACTTCCTGGGCTCAAGTGATCCTCCCACGTCAGCCTCCCAAGTAGCTGGGACAGGCGTGTACCCCTTTCCTCTTTAATCCTAATCTTCCCCCAAATGTACTTAATCTCTTAAACTGCATCTCAGGGCTTGCACGTATTTTCACTTAGTTACGGTAACGAATCCTCTGAGACAGGATACACTGGGATGTTATTTGACATCAGGAGACTGGGGCTCTGCCACTTACTAACTCTGTGGGCAAAACACTTCACTTCCCTGGGCTTCTGAGACTTTCATCTGTAAAGTAGGAATAATACTGTTCTCTTAGAATTGTGAGGATTGGGCGGGCACAGCGGCTCACGCCTGTAATCTCAGCACTTTGGGTGGCTCAGGTGGGCGGATCAACTGAAGTCAGGACTTCGAGACCAGCTTGACCAACATGGAAAAACTCTGTCTCTACTAAAAGTGAAAAATTAGCCGGGTGTGGTGACGTGTGCCTGCGGACCCAGCTACTCGGGAGGCTGAGGCAGGAGAATTGCTTGAACCCAGGAGGTGGAGGTTGCGGTGAGACGAGATTGCCCCATTGCACTCCAGCTGAGGCAACAAGAGCAAAACTCCATCTCAAAAAAAAAAGAAAAAAAAATTGTGAGGACTAAAAATGCTGAGTAAATGCCCTAAGTCTGAAGCAGGATCCCTGCAAGTTTCTAGGCCTCCAACCCAGCATTCATCCCCTGCCTCACTAACCTGGATTTCCTTCCTTCACCTCCAGCTCAAACCTCACATCCTGAGGCCTTGCCCCTCACCTTGATGCCCACAACACCGCCCTTGGATTTGATAACTTGGGGGAAGGGACGCCCATCATCCGCCTTCTGGTAGAGTGTCTCGTGGAAGAGGAT